TTAAACTAAAATGTGCCAAGACATTGTTAACTTAAGAAGCATGTAATTGATTTTTATTTTGTGGGATGTGAAATGTACCGTAAAACAGTTCCTATTATTTTATTTGGTAATATGTTCTTATTATATATCGATGCAAGTTATGAAAATCTTGATGACTTGACTAGTTCCTTGTGTAGGACCTTTTGGACGATACGGGCAAATTATCAGATACGATGATTGCATTTAAGTATTGGTTCTTACAAGTACGGCTGAAAATCCTAGGGGAATTTTGTGTGAAAAAGGCTTGTATTTCACATAGAAAGATTGACCACCCTAGGCTAATTTGGATGGCTGAGGGGGCTATTCACCAATTGCTAATTAGTTTTAGTTTGGATGGTTATTGATGTGATGTGAAAGTTGGATACTGAATAGTCAACGTGCCATGTATCTCCCCTTTTTTAATTTGTCGGGTTGTTAGTGTGCTTGATTTGGTTCGGTTTTGTTAGCCACGTACAAGTCCGGTCTCATGTGAGTAAGGGTATGAAGGGAGTTTGTGTTGCACATAGAAANCTGCAAGTCCGGTCTCATGTGAGTAAGGGTATGAAGGGAGTTTGTGTTGCACATAGAAAGATGAGACCAACCAAAGTGTGTTTATATGGTTGAGTGGACTATCTACACTCCTTATTGGATTTAAGTTCGATACCTCTAACTTATTGTAGTTTTATAACCATATGTAGCAATAGCAATAATAAAGCTTCTTATCTATATGCCACTTGTACGCGCCTTAAATGAGTTTCAATTATGTTCCTATGGTGCTAAGAACTCATTAAAATCTTATCCTAATATTTTTGGGTTGACCACATGAATTATCTTTTACCATTGTACTCTATTAAGAGCATACTTTTTCTAAATCACAAGTTATCATATATTTATTTATTGTTTCACTTAAAGTTAATTTTGGCCTTCTTATATCCCTACTCTTACGATAAATGGTTATCATATCATTCTTTTTCACCGGTACCGTATAAGACTGTATATAAATATGTTTAGATCACCTAAGTTCATTCTCTCTTAATTTATCTCTTATAGGTTTTACCTCGACTTTTTCACGAATATAATTATTTTTAATTCTTTCATTCCTAATTTTACTACAAATTTATCTAAACATTCTAATTTCTACCACACTTAATTTAAACGTGTTATTATTTAGTTGTCCAACACTTAGTATCATAAAGTATAGCAAGTCATGTAGTTGTTCTATAGAACTTTCGTTTTAATTTAAGGGATATGCGTCTATCACACAATACAACGTATGCATTCCTCCATTTGTCTACCCAGTATTAATTCTATAAGTAACATCATCCCCAATCATACATTCTGTATGAATGTGTTCCTTCTTTGGTTGCTCTTGATCTTTAATTTTTGTTGCTTCCCAATTTGGATTCCTCCTTTAACTAGACTCACATTCCATATATTTAGTTTTAGTCTTGCTTATCTTAAATCTTTTTGACTCTAGAACTTCTCGACAGATTTCTAGTTTATTATTATTTTTTTTTTACTGTCGTCCACTAATAGAAAATCATCCAGAGATAAATATGCTATGAGAGTTTATCTTAAATGTTTCTAATTAATCCATCCATANCAACAGATTTTTAGTTTATTATTATTTTATTTTTTACTGTCGTCCACTAATAGAATATCATCCAGAGATAAATATGCTATGAGAGTTTATCCTAAATGTTTCTAATTAATCCATCCATAATCAACATAAAAAGATATGGTCACCACATTTTTCTGATGTAGCCTACAGTGATTGAAAATTCATTAGTCTGTCCTGCTATTGTTCTCACTAAGGTCACCACATTTTCTTACATATCCTGAATCACTTAAATATACCTAACCGTAAATTTTCTCTTTTCTAGGACCTTCCCTGAAATATCTATTGGGACTATTATATGTCTTCTTTAAGTCTATAAAAGTAAAAACTACATGAAGATCCTTATTTTTCTTGCCTGTACCTCTCCATTAGTCTCCAAAATAAGTATATAGTTTCCATGGTTGATCTCTCGTGCGTAAATCCAAATTGATTGTCAGATACCGTTGCTTCAATCCATAATCTTTGCTCAATGACACTTTCCTGAAGTTTCATTGTATGACTCATTAGTTTAATACCCTGATAGTTTGTGCAATTGTGTATGTCCCCCTTATTCTTATATATAGGTATTAAAACACTCTTCCTCAACTCATCAAACGTTTTCTTAGCCATTATAAATTTATTAAATAACTTAGGTAACCATGATACCCCAATATGCTCTAGACACTTCCAAACCTCATAGATACTAAAACCAAGGCCTGTTTTTTTTGTTTTTTTTCCTAGAAGTAGTTCCTACTTGCATTGGTTTGGAACACAGACTTGACGTCATTAGAAGCATTGATCCAGAATGAACCAACAATTCTCATTTCTTATGTACACATGAACAAGGAAAATAGTCGAAATTTGGCTTAGATTTTAAGCTTTTCCGAGCTCCTATTGTATCCCATAGTCAGACTACCAATGTCTTTTTTTTTTCTTTTTTTATTTTTGGTTTATGATGAACATTTTACAGAAAACGTTATATCCTTTAAATGTCATATACCCAATGGATGGGCCTTGGCAAGAGGGCAAGATTATTTCATTGTGATCTGAGTGTCAATGATTGGAGTCACAGAAACAGTTTCCCTGCATACAAGCATACAGATGTGTATGTCTTACCCATCCAAGATCCCACAGTGACGGAAACCTCATGCACTAGGCTAACTTTTTTTATTATATAATCAATGAAGACCTTAAGCGTATTTGTAAAGCGACAACCCTATCTGTATAAGCAATCAATGTTTATTGCCACGAGACTATCAAGATAGGTTACCGACTACAATTCCCTCTCGAGCAACTTAAATGAACGACTTATCATTCTTTTAAATAAAAAATTCACTGGATGTTTTACAAGGTGCGATCTATTAAGTGGGAGTCATGCTTACATTGCTAGGAAGTGCCTAACAATATTAAAGGAAACTTTTCCATGAATCAACCTATAATGCCTTGTCATTGGTTCAGAATGAGAGAGGAAAGCATTTGTGTTGCTATGATTGAGATATGTGTCATTGTTTGCTCTTGGGTATTCTTATCTATGGTAAACAAGATGGTGTTATGAAAATAGCCTCATTGTATACATTTGACTGTATTTAGTGACGAGCCCCATGCACAAGGCCGCCCTTAACAATCTCTAGTGGTTTTATTATGTATGCTTATATGCGTTAATTGGCAAGATTAGGTGAAGTTCTACTAGGAAAATTTTATTGTGAATTTGAAAATTAGTGGGTCTTGACGCAACAATAAGGTTGCCCTTGGTGACCTCAAAATCACAAGTTTGAGTCACGAAAATAGCCTCTCCACCAAAAAAGGTAAGGCTATGTATATATGACCCTTTCTAGAGGTAACATTGGTGAGAGCCTTGAATTGGACCACCATATTTTTTAATTGAAGAATTTCTTATAAAAAACTCATTATTTATGTCAAATGGTTATGTTTTTCTTCTTTTGACTATCAACTTTATTAGCTAATTGGGAGTTTTTAAAGGTGTCCTAGATGGTGAGACACTAGGATAAATTGAATTAGGATGTCACAATTATGAGGCCAATAATAAGCAAGGCCGAATATAATTTTGGGTGATTGAGTAGTTAGACTTTTTAAACCGCTAAGTTGACGAGGCAAATGCATATCGTGCTATGGTACCTTCATTTAACGCCCATGAAGAATATCTAGTTCTAGTGACGAAAACCCTGCAAATAGGATTCAGTTTAAGAGATGACAAAGCACAATTGTGTTTGTGGTCCTCTTTTCAAAGCAGTTTCAAACTAGTTCCTGCTGAACTCTCCAAGTGTTTGATGACAATGTCATACTTGGTGCTTGTTTTGCTTGAATCCAAAAAGAAGGTCGCAACTATTGTTTCCAAGATTGAATTTTTATCTAAAACTAGATTTGCAAGAATACAGCTGGTTGTGCACCGTCACCTCTTTTGGAAGCTTCCTTCACCAAATGACAGAAAAACAAGCACTTAAGAAGAGTAAGAAGGAAGGGCCAAACCTATGGATCTGAAGTTTTTCTCAGCCGGTAAAGTTTCGGCTTACAGTCATGAGAAATAAATGAAATAAACTCATTTGAACAACCGAGAAAACTAAAAGGAGGAAATTGAAGCAAACCCATGTAAGTGTTATTTTCGTCATTCAATCCAAGAAGCACACCTTCAAAATGTTTATAATGGCAAATCTAATGGTTTCACTTTGGTCAAAATAACAAAGGTTTTGCAAGCATAGTTGTTAAATCGCGTATCAGAAGATGTATCATTTTTTTAAAATAGTGTATCATATCGTATGTCACGTATCATCAAATATGCACATTTTTAAATAATTATTAATAAAATATATATATACCTTTACAAAAAAAATCATAAACTCATAATAACATAACATTTCATTAATATTTCACCAATTATTCAAGTTTCACTAACGTCAAAATACAAAGTCCTTTGATTCAAACTTCTAACATCAACTTCTTCAACAACCCTAACATTAATTAAGAATTTTGAATTTAATTAAATAGTATTAATAGCATAATTTTTTTTTAAAAACCTTAGCTACTGAAACAACATTTTCTAGCTAGGAATTAAAAATAAGTCATAGAATAAAACACATTTCAATACCAAAAAATTTAAAAAAAATAAAATCTTCACGTATTGTATATATCGTACGATTCGTATCGCATTGTGTATCAAACAATACAATACAAAAACAACATAGAAATACAATTTGTATCATTTTTTAAATGTATCATACAATACATATCATGTATCGTATGATACTAATAACTATAGTTGTATGATCGTAAATGTTAAAGAACAAAAGTGGTTTTGGATCAAAGATAATTACCACTTTTTGTTTTTTTTTTTTGGGGGGGAGGGGTGGGGGGATGTTATGACCTCACACAACTGGGTTGGTGTGCTATTCAAACTTTGCCACAGTTCCAGCAACAAGCCAGACGAGAATTGAACACGGATAGATGCTAAATTTGCATAGGCATCCCAACATGGGTAGATGTTAGATCGAATTTTCATGATGCAGACAACATTTGAACAAAATAAAAACCAGCACTAAACATGTCAAAGGTCAGCTAAGAAACAAAGAGTACAATTGTTGTGATACCTTCATGGGTGCTTGCATAGGCCCCAAATAGCAGCTCTTAACTTCACTTTGTATAACCAAATGGGGGAAGGTTGATGAAAAGTAGTTTAAATCTCCCCAAGATAAATCTGTTTGTCACTACTGCAAGACCCAACGATAGGCTCACTGGGATGGAAGACACATTCGTTCACAGATCCAGTATGGCCAGGGAGTTTATACAAGATGCGTCGGGAAGTGGTATCCCAAATGTACACCATCCTGTCAGAACTACCAGCCGTGACCTTGCTTCCATCAGGTGACCAGCCACATTTCAACAAGTTCTTTTCGAAATTATGTTGATGCCCTTCCATGATCTTCACACAACGATTTTGTGGTGCGTATGGGCGCATATCCCATATGCGGAGTGTGCAGTCCATTGCATTGGTAAGAAGATAAGACCCATCCGGACTCAATTGCATACCAGTTATTGTATCCTGATGGCCTTGAAGAGTCATAGTGACCTCGTTTCTCCGCAAATCCCACACCTTAACATCATTGTCTATACCACCTGTGTATATCTTATCTGATGCATCCGAGAAACTCACGGCTGTGATTTGGAATTTATCTGGAAAAGTCTGAATGGCACCCCTCTGACGCATATCCCAGAGTTTGGAAGTGCCATCGTCAGATCCACTGACAATAAGAGGAGGGCCCCTCCGGGCAGGACAGCAAGAATTTACAAAAGACGAGTGTTCTGCCATCTTTTTTATCTGTTTCCCAGTTTCGACATCCCATGCCCTCAGTGTCTTGTCTGGGCTGGCCGATACTATCTGTGACCCATCACTAGTCCATTGAAGATCCAGAACCGCATTCTTGTGCCCTTTTAGAACCATGAAGTTCTTGCAATCACCATGCATGCTCCAAAGAAAAATTTCCCTGTCATGAGACCCAGATGCAATGACAGTTCCTTCTGGATTGAACTTCATTGTGTATATGGCACTCTGATGACCAGTTAGCAACATGATTGGTGACTCCAAACTTGATGTGCGCTGCTTTCCGTTTTGCCCCAGTGTTTGAGGACCACCATGTGGAACAACAGACAATTCCATTGGCCTTGAGCCAATCACAGACAGAGCACTTTCAGCTTGCATCTTGACTACTGCTTGATGTTAGGTGCCAGGGCAAGAAACTACCTTCTAAGATTAGTTTTGTATCTGAAACAAATACTTAGGAACTCAGTCTGTCAGATTATACAAGGGAGATAAAAAACTAGCAAACACCTTAACTAAATCACACCCAATAATATGGAAGCAAATATTCTGATTTCAAAGAGAGAATAGAATTATTAAAATTCCAAAAGAAGATTCGGAAATGGATTTACCAAAAAAGACAAAACCAAAATTCAAATGGAAGGTAAAGGGCTCATGAACTGAATTGCAGGTTAATGTTGGGTGTCCCTCCTTATGCCTTCTTAATGGGACCCAACTCAATATAAATGATATGTGCATGTGTCCATTGGAAGAGTCTAATAAAAGCCAAGTATTGAAGACCTTTTGTCTTCCATGTAGGCTGACCGGTTATACACATTGAGAGGGAAAAACCTGCAGAAAAATAATTGAGAGGGACAGCTTATTTGTGAGAGAAAAGTAGAAGAAAGCAGCCCATTTCTTGCTCAAGGCTTATTTCTACCCCGATAGAGCTGACACTTTAGGAACATATTCCTCACATATACAGCTGGTTTTCTACTGTTTCGGGTCGTCAATCGGACTCTTCTACTGCTGGTTTCAATGACACAAGTTCAGCCACTTCAATGAGATCTTTCTTGTTACTTTGTGTTGAAAAGCACCCAAGGGTGAAGATTTTTATGTTGGGAGCCAAGGAGATATTTTTCTCTTGATGTTTGCCTCCCTAGTTGTGACTAGAAGACTTGCAATCCTGCTTTCATTTCATTGATAGTGGAGAAATTGGACCAAGTTTGGTCCCGTGATTTTTTCCCTTCGTCTTGAAGGGTTTCCATGTTAAAGAATCTTGTGTTTTGTTGGTTGGTTTGCTTATTGTGTTTGATTATGGTTTGGTTATTCTCTATTGATTTGTACATAGAAGGAAAGTCACTAGTTTTCTCAACAGTTAACAAGTTTCAAGGAACAAACAACACCCACCAGAAAGGTAGATCTTAAAGTTAAAGTGTAAAACATCACATGAGAGGACTGTTGTTACACATGAACTGCTCATACTTGTAGAAGTCCAAGGCCCATACTTGTAGTACAATGGCCCAAAACTAAAACTTTTACTGGAAGTAGGAAGACCTTCAACAAGGCCCAAAATCAAGTTTATACACTACATACTCCGACTCTNGTCCCGTGATTTTTTCCCTTCGTCTTGAAGGGTTTCCATGTTAAAGAATCTTGTGTTTTGTTGGTTGGTTTGCTTATTGTGTTTGATTATGGTTTGGTTATTCTCTATTGATTTGTACATAGAAGGAAAGTCACTAGTTTTCTCAACAGTTAACAAGTTTCAAGGAACAAACAACACCCACCAGAAAGGTAGATCTTAAAGTTAAAGTGTAAAACATCACATGAGACGACCGTTGTTACACATGAACTGCTCATACTTGTAGAAGTCCAAGGCCCATACTTGTAGTACAATGGCCCAAAACTAATACTTTTACTGGAAGTAGGAAGACCTTCAACAAGGCCCAAAATCAAGTTTATACACTACATACTCCGACTCTGACTAACCACATCATTTTTTGAGCTTTCCTTCTTCAAGAACCCTAGGTTTTACAATTGAGCTTTCCCATAGGTTTGCGCGCTCCCTCTATCTTTTTGCTTTTTTTCAAGTATTTGCTAAGTTGTGGTTTCGATTAGCAAAGTTTTCTTTCATATGATGTTTTTTTCAAGTATTTTATATAAAAAACTAGGATTTGATTTCCCAAACACGGCTTAATTAATGACAATGAAAACAAATAGTTGAAAAACCACCACTCCGTTAACATTGAATTGAAAAATTAAAAAATAGTTATATTAAGCATTGGCAACACATACAATTTCAATAACTTTCGGTGCTTTATACATAGGAATCGAGACACACACAAATAGAGAGAGAGAGAGAGAGAGAGAGAAAACCTGTGGGAAAGCTCAATTGTAAACCCTAGGGTTCTTCGGGAAGGAAAGCTCCAAAAATGATATGGTCAGTCAGAGTCAGAATATGTAGTGTATAAACTTTATTTTGGGCCTATTTAAGGTCTTCCTACTTCCAATACAAGTTTTAGTACAACTATAATTGCGGGCCTTGGACTTCTACACGTATGAGTCTGTCATGAATAACAACAGTCCTCTCATATGATGTTTTACACTTCAACTTTAAGATCTATCTTTCCGGTGGGTGTCGTTTGTTTTTTGAAACTTGTTAACCTATGAAGCACAGATACAGAAATGATACGAATTTGACAAAACCTAAATAAAAAAAAGATACGGGTACGACTAAGATATGTCCATAAAATATATTTTTATAAAAATTTATTATTATATCTAATATAATAACTATAATTTATAAAGTGAATCACACATCTATCAAAGATATATAATAATAGCTAACCATTCTATCATTCAGAAATTATACATTCATATTTTTTTTTTTGGCAAATAAAGGCCCAAACATATTTGCTCTGGTGCCCCTATTCTTTTTAAAAAATTCAAGTAATATTCCACCGTATTCCCGACGTATCCCCTACATATCTTGACGTATCCTGAAGTATCCAAAATTCAAATTTATTTTTTTAAATGCTAGGATACTTCTCAGTCGTATCGCATACGTATTCAGCCGTATCGAACACGTATCCATATTCAAAAAATATTCAATACCGATATTTTGACCATTTTGAAGTATTCATACTTCATAGTAGTTAACTATTCGGAAAACTAGTGAATTTCCTTCTATGTACAAATCAATAGAGAATAACCAAACCACAATCAAACACAATAAGCAAAACAAAACACAAGAATTTTTAACGAAACCCTTCAAGGTGAGGGAAAAAACCACAGGATCAAACTTGGTCCAACTAGTCACAACTAGAGATGCCAAACATCAAGAGAAAAATATCTCCTTGGCTCCCAAAAATAAAAATCTTCACCCTTGGGTGGTTATCAACACAAAGCAATAGGAATGTTCACTCGACCTGACGGGTAGGAATTATGGTATACCATTTTCTTACCCGATGTTTTGCAGAAGGCTAATTAATTGGCTAACCCTACACGATCGGAGATATTGTCCCGACTAAATTCCGTCCAAAACAATCGGGTAAGAAATCAAATAGGGTTACAGAATATACATATTTCTAATTTTTAGTTATTAGTTTTTGAATCATTTTAACAAAACAACAAAAAAAATAATCAGAGAAGAAATATAGATCAGCAACAAAGCAGCAAAAAAGATACAGATCCAAGAAGAAATATTACATTTTTTGTCTCTATTATGTCAAGAAATATGACATAAAACAGACAGCCATGCATAGACATACATGAAATAGGGCATGACATGCGTCTATGCCTGATGAATAGATCCAATACAACAATCTAAGCCTGAGCTATAGTGTCACTCTCACCCTGACAGATAGATGCCTTAAATAAAAAAAAACCAAACAAAGTAAAAGCAATAAAATACACTATCAATCAAGGAAAGACATTGAGCAAACATGGCACCATGTTGAAATTCTTTTGATTCGATATATTCTTGAAATTTTTCGAGATGTTCGAGTATACTTCAACTAATGTTTCGAAATATTTCAAAAATAATTTTCTAAAGATTAAATAACTAATTAACAGATTCACTCTAAAATATAATCAAAAACTTCTAGACTGCTCAAATTCAATCAAAAAAGGGGATCTTTTGAATAACTAATTCAGATCAAGACATGCAACAACGTCTGAAGAGGGAAAAAATGGAAATTTAATCAGAGGAAAAGAGAGAAGGTAGAGCAAGTGCATGCAAAAGCTTTTGAAGAGAGAGAAACTTTCAACCTTCTAAAACAGATTAATAGTTTGAGTTCAATCTCGTGCGCGCACGAGAGAGAGAGAGAAAGAGAGAGTCTGGGATGCTTGTGTATTGTGGCTTCGAGTTCGATTAATCAATGGAGACTGGAGTGGAGAGAGCTGCAGAGAGAGTTAAGAGCATAGTTTTAAAATCTGGCCCGGACATCAACCCAGTAAAGAGACCAGGTCAATGGGTCTGGTTCAGGTTCAATGTTGGGTCATTGATCAGACCGGTAAGAATATAAAAAATCACAATATTTATGAAAATAGCATCAAACATGTAAAGTTAAGTAGAGAAAAATCCAAAAACTCACAATTAATTAAACCCCACAACACACCAACTTTAAAGTAATAGTAAGATACATAAGGCAATAAACCCAACAACATCTCATTTCATAGCATCAAAGACCACCATATATCTAGATTCAAGCACACAAATTTCTAGCATCAACAACATCTCAACAATCTGCTCAAGCCATATCCTCTCAATTAATTGCATAATATTTGTAAAATATAGCATTATCAAAGATTCAATTGCATAAAAATCAAAAATAAAATATAGCAGAGAGTACAGAATAGAGAGAGAGAGACCTGCTGCTGGTGCCTGCCTCGATGACGCTCTGAAGCAGTGAAGCAGCTTTCTCCTTCGAAATCGAAAGTTCCTTCCACTTCGAGTCTTCGATCGAGTCCCTTAGTGGCTGGCTTACTCCCTTTTGTGCTCGCAGTGCACACTACTGCAGAGACCAAAGAGAGACTGAGAGTCTGAGACTGAGAAACTCTGAGAGAGAGAGAGAGAGAGAGANGTGCTCGCAGTGCACACTACTGCAGAGACCAAAGAGAGATTGAGAGTTTGAGACTGAGAAACTCTGAGAGAGAGAGAGAGAGAGAGAGAGAGAGAGAGAGAGAGAGAGACNACTGAGAGTCTGAGACTGAGAAACTCTGAGAGAGAGAGAGAGAGAGAGAAACTCACACTGGGAGGGCTGGCTGGGAGGAACGTCCAGTCATCCACCGTCGCGAAGGATGAGGCTGAGAAACAATTTAGGGCAAAATGCCCAAAATTCAGCTTTTATAGTAAGTTTAATGCTCCGGCCGGTTTGATCATACTCGCCCTTCACCGGGTTTTTTCTGATTTTGGTGCATAAATAATCCNGAGGGCTGGCTGGGAGGAACGTCCAGTCATCCACTGT